ATACTAACCCGCTACACATCGAGTAATAGGTCCGAAGGGCCTATCATTCGATATAGTATTTCTATAAACAATACCAGCGCCCTTCAGAAAAAATACGGATGCATCCCATCATTTGTAGGATGCGATCCCATGATTTAAATCGTCAATTTGCTTGGCTACTCATTAGCTATGACGCGTCTATTGTGATGCTATATATTGCAACTCGTACCCCTCCCTCCTTACGTTGCAATGGCCTTCTCTAAAATATCGAGCTTCATAAGAACGACATCTTGGGGAAAGGTCGCCGAAGATAGGGGTGTGGGTACAATAGCCTGTTTGGAGAAGCATGCGGTAAACTGCACGGCGAAACTCGTAGCGACTTCGACGAGTCTGGCACCTATTATTGGGCCACAGGCTTGAAAAAGGGGAGATTAGAAGGACCATCTGACCCTACTCATCTACTCCAGGTTTGTGCCCCAATGACGGGAGCCAAAGTCGTTAAAATCGCCACGACTTTCGCCGTGCGGTTTGCCGCGGGGTCTCAAAATGGACGAATATTCCGTCCCCCTGAAAAGAGGATCAATACCAATCATAAAGAGGGAGGTCTGTGTACTTGCCAAGGTGCACCTAATATTCTACAGGAAATTTATGTTTTGCTAAACGGCCCAGATTTCTCGAAAATCAACAAGAACGGGGCTACTATAATGCATCCCTATCACTCCCAGTCCGAACCCTGCCTTAGCAAAACGAAAATTAGTCGTCGACATGCTGCCACTCACCTCCTGCGAGATCGCTACAACAACGGTACAAGGCACTTACCTTCCTATACTCGAAGAATTATTTGAAACGCAACGTAATGCTATAATAATGTAAAGTGAGACTACGATGTGGGGTTTTATTGGATGCTCACATCCTACTTGCTGTTGTGTGCTGCGCGCCGATCCGTCACAATTCGCATCTTAAGATGACTTCAATATAATAAACTAGCAGCCAGGTCAAAGGCTCAAAAATTTGTCATAGCCCCATCGCCATAACACATTTGTGGTCACCTAGTTCTTGTCACATCTCCAGCGTTTCATGAAAAAGGAGTTTTATTATATGAACAATGGGTTGAATTGAATGCAAATACAATACAATCAAATGAACAGAACGCAAATACAATCAAATGAACTCTATATGAAACAACCTCAAACCCGAAACTACACTTTTCACTCCGAATGGTTATCATACATCGGCCGCAAATCAATTACTTAACCTAAATTAAAATAAAATACAAAAAGCATAGCATAACTGTCGAAACCCGAATTTCGTGAAAGCTCAAAAAACTTCTACAAATTGATGTACAGTTTTAACAAACTCATCTAGGCCTCGTCCATTCAAATACTTCCCAGAACAGAGATTTTGTGAATAACGAAAGATTAAAGTGAGATGTCCACCGACGGATGTCCTGAAAAGGCCATTGTTCCTTCATGATCAAGCCTCATAAGCTATTTATCAATTCACCTCATACCCAAAACCCGCAGATATTGCCGCAGCTGAGGCAGCAACGTTTCCTCGAAATGTGCGCTCACTGGTATGGTCAATTGTGCACTGCTGACTTTCCCATTGCTTAGGTTCCAGACAAACGGTACACAGATATTTGACAACTGCTGCTGTCCCAACCTTTGTTAATTGGCTGTATGCCACACGATTTCCGCATTCAGGACAGAACCGGAACAGATTCATTAGCAAGTCTCCTTGCACGAAATAGTACTGATGCAGAGAAACAGGATCTGTTTGCCCTAGTGGCATCATATGGAGAGCTCGGGAAGAAATAGAGGCATAGGGTAGATCCGAATCTTCACCAAACAGTTTCGCAGGAGTGTGCTGGAAATATGGCTTTTTCGGATGAACATGGCTCACAGATTTCTTGTTGATAACAACCTTAATATAAGGCGAGGATGTCGATGCCGTGACCTCGTCTTCCGCGATCACTTCATGTTTCACCCCTATTGCATTGCTCTGTTGCAGTGGTGTAGAGAGTAATTCCTTTCCTTTCGTTTCGTTGTAAGCCGAAATTCGCTCATACGGTGTCTGAACAAATGTCACCAACTCTAAGCAGTTCGGACGTAAGAGCAAGTGGATAACGATCTTTACCTGCGCTTCACGAGATGACACCCACAAAGGTGTCGCATAGTAACGTCGTAAAGCATCGTTCATGAAAATCCAAACATACTTTGCAGTTATAACAAGTTCACGCTGTAAATTCACATATCACTAAGGCGACGACTTTACAAATCAGAACTTACCTTCATATCTTGCAGCACGCCATTTATGAAGGTGACGACATGAGGTGGTATGTCTCCGAGAGTAACATAAGCCCCACTAGTGTTGTCGTGAAAACATGTATAGTGCTTACCAACCACAGCCATCTCTTCACAGATGAAGTGGGCCTTAACATGGAAAAGGAAAAATGGAGGACGAATGTAATTTGAATGATTAGAACTCACTGCCTGGACAAAATGATCGTGACATAAGTACTTTCTCTGCAGGCAGCATTGCTCAAACACATCGCGAGCAGTCAGTCGTTCAACGTACCCGTATCCGGTGAGACAGGCCACGAGTATGCCATTAATCATCAACGACCTTGATGAAGATCTCATTTCTGGCTCAGGAAGCCTTTCCCCACATACTGCACACGACTTCTTCCCCCTCTTTGAAACAGAGCCCTGCAATAGAACTCAGTTTTTATGTAAAATATGGAACATCATCATAAGTGCGCACAAAATTTGAAATATACTCTAAACAACCTTGTGATACTCTAAACAACTTTTCCATTTTCGATTTTAAATTGTATGTCTTAATATCCTTCTTATACATAAAGCATTAACTTGGTTTGTTGGTTTGTCTGTATGTCGGTATGTCGGTATGTCGGTATGTCGGTNATGGAAAAGTTATCCTTCTTAAATGTAAAGCAGTCACTTTGTGTGTAGGTGAATGAAGAAAGAGAGCACTGCGAAGTGAAGTGAGTGATATGGAGTGAAGTGGGTATTTCAAACCGTGATTTCTATTGTACTGTACTGGCAGTACTTCGACACTGTTGCTTGATCGATGCTGGCATGATACTATGTTTGCCTACGCAGTATTTGGGATCTGGCTACCACACTAATTTTTCCTTCTTCATTGCCTACCCTTCTCACACCAGTCTGAAAACCGCAATGAAACTCCCTTCTACCCTACGGAGAAGTGGAACCGATCGGCTGACCCGTCGCTTTCTTTTGAATTTATTTAGCGCATGAGCGTAAACAACACTACATATTAGCTACTTGGTTGTGTTCCTGTTGAGCTCTCCTTCATCATTATTGCCCTTTCCCCTCCAGTGTTTTTGAAAAGAGAAATATCATTTGCTCCGGTCTTAACACCGTTGATAGTCAAGCTCCTTTATTTGTTAGCTTTACTGGCACAGCGTCTTCTCTCTGGCTGACCAACCTGTCTGATCAACCGAAAATTTCGAATGGTACTTATTATTGTTCTTAACTGTTGATAACACCACTATCAAAGCCCATGACCCATCTTGTCGATTTCCACATTTTGGTGGTCGGATTAATTTTGTTGCGAAGAATATCTAAATGAAGAGAAAACGAGATAACTTAGCAAGTCACAAACATCCTACTTTATATAATTCGCTAATCTGTGTGTTTGTGTGTCGGTGTGTGTGTCCGACCAGAAACTCATAACTCCTGTGCCCGTTAACCTAGAGCTTTCAAATTTGGTAGGAGTAAGGGAGGCAGGAAGGGAACACCTTTAGTAAGTGGCAAGACCGGACTCCTGCACAGGGGGATTTTGCGCCGAAATAGTCAATTTGCCCTAGGGCAATTCAAGCTTAGCAGGAGTACAGGCGGCTAGATCGGAACATTTATCGTAGGTGGGAGGACCGGACCCCGCTCTTAGAAGGCGAGGTTTGCGATAAAATTTTCAGTTTGGCTCTAGGGCTTTTAAACATGGTAGGAGGCAGGGGGCAGTAAGGGAACGATTATGGTGAGTAGTACAGCCGGACTCCTCCTCCAAGTGACGGGGTTTATGGGAAATAAATGAGTAGAAATCCATGACTCCTGATCCTATTGACTTGGAGAGCAAAATCAATAGGAGGAGGCAGGATGGGAACACTGACAGTAGAAGAGGCCTTAGAAGAAGATCCTTTCACCAATTACCTTCTAACGCCTTTGTTATTTACGATCTATCTTTGACTTTTTGATATGTTTCATTCGACAAGAAGGGTAAGTTGTGTGGTTATAAAGAGATGAATTTGGTTCACTCTTGCTATTACATTACGACCGCTACCCAGCAGGGTTTCCGATTAAGTGAAAGATCACGGTTCCCTTTGCTTTGATACCATTCTTGGCAAAACTTATCCTACCGCTAATAATGTTGGGTTCACATTTAATGATGTATCCGTAGAGAAAAGGAGGTACATCTCTGAAGGCGTTTGATAGTCCATACTCTCCCTTAGAGAAACAGCGAAATAACCTAGAAAAAAGGAGGACGAATTTCATTAATTCGATGTTTTTCGGGCGAAGTCCCTTTGCTCCAAGAAGGAGGAGAGCCTCAGCTGTGAACACTTATGGTGGGTGTCGGGACCGAACCCCGTGCACAGGGGGCGGGACGTGCGCGATAGGAGTTTTGGGCCGCAAATTCATAACTAATGATGAACATTGATGGTAGCTAACATAGTAGCCTCAATGAGTCTCTGAATACTTTTTTTTTCTCTGAATAATCATCTGTGTGATATCATACGATGTTCTATTCGGACATAGCGAAGATGGCTCACAGAAAAAGCCGCTCCTAATTCGGAGCTAATACTGAGGGTGTAGAGCTTTCAAAGAAAAAGGAGAATCCGAGGTCTAATTTACGCATAGCAATTTTCTCACAGAAAGGAGGAACGCCCGGCGTAGCCGGGCGAGCCCATAAGAAGGAGGGAAGCCTGGCGTTAGCCGGGCGGCCCGACTGGTATGCAACATAAAGTGGCCGCAAATACTGCATTACAGTGACCAAGCCTTACGAGAGATTATCCATGTAATACCATTAGTTTTCCAACCATTAGTTATAATTTAAAAATTTAAATTTATTTACTTATCCATGTTGAATACTGATATGTCATTATACACATCCGTATACAGGACGGATTACATATGCTTTGGTAGTGAATATCACACGCCGTTTACTTATTAGGTAGTGTGCATCTCTTCAAACAATCATTCAGTCTAAGTTAGTGCCGCTCAATAACGTTTGTAATTGATAAGTACAAATGTACAAATACAAGAAAAAGAAAGTTTATACCATTAAGAAAACAGTACTTAAAAATCATGCCTTATAGATTCCAATGGAATCATGATTGAATCCTATGGAACCTTTCTCATTTACCACTAAACCAATCCATGCTCTAAAAACTCGTACGACTCCATTAATTTCAATCGGAATATTCACCGAGCATGAGCAGGAAGAATAAATTATTTAATGCTGGAGTTTCTGTAAATGACGGCCCTAATTATGAGACTTTGCATTTTTCTTTCAATCGGAAGACTGTTGGCCTGACAGATATGAGGGGTTAAAGTCCTTGAATTTAAGAGGCTTTTACAATATTTTAAAAACCATCAAAAGAGAATCAACCATCAAAATCATTTCTGAGGTTGTACAGTAGAAAAAAAATTATCAATGAAGTGCTTAAGGCTTCCATAAAAGAATGCAAGGAATAACTACTATTTTGAACGATAAGCATTTAGGTCCAATCCATATCATCGTAGAAAAGTAACTTCACAAAAGAGTAATGCCAACTAACCTTACTGGACCTGGATATTATATCCATATCATTTGCATTATTCTTCTACCGGGTTCTATCCGCTTTCCAATCAGTAGACCCTAAACATTGGATGAAATAACAAATCCGCCATTAAATATTACATAGTCGAACATGGAAGCGATTCAACCAAGACGGATGTTTCGAAAGTACAACGACAAAGCAGTATAGGTAGTAAAGGTGAGCAATAAACCCCTCNNNTATCGCCAGAGTTACCAAAGAAGCTCCCACTCCCAGCCTGATTTAAGCCCAATGAAAGCAAAAAAAAAACAAGCGCAAAAGGGGGTCAACACAGAAAACGCGAAAGTAACAAAACTTGCCACTGTGTTCACGTGTCTACATTTGTGAAAGAGTTTTTTTTCTACGGTTGAACACTATCCCTCAAAAGTGAGTGTCATTCAGTGGACGGAAAAATTCATGAAAGTAACATAAAAACCTGATTAAGAAAGTGAGCGATGACATCAAACACTAGTCCTGTTCTGTTTTCGTCTCACTTCTTCATCGAAACCCATCTGGATAGGAGTCAAGCGTCAGAAATACAAGCTCTTACTCTCTCAGTGTAAACTCTGCAGTTCTTACAAAGGGAAAAGAAAAATGTACCATATTGTCCGCTTCAGACGAATAATTTTACGTTAAAGAAAATACTGAGTGCAATTGCGTACTTATATGCCCATGGACGTTGATTTGTCCGAAAGCCTAAAACCCAATGCGATCGAGGATGAGCTGGAAGAATTCATGTCGATCTGCAGAGGCTTGGATGGAGACCATAATTTTTCAAGATCACCCTCTGTTATGGAAAAACCATCCATGTTCGTGAAGAATGTCTATAGAGCTTTATAGCACTACCTACAAAACGAAGGAACAGAGGGCAGAACTGTCTCATCTGGTCATAGTGACCAGCACCATTCACCAAGGTTCGCCGTTCGAGAAGCCACTTCCTTTGCGCTGAAGTTGGGAATAACCTGATATAGTTACACAGTGAAATAGACCACATAATGTCAGCAACTAAGGCTGACAGTTTGTGGCTGTTGTTACAAAGGTTAGACGGGATCGAACCATAGTAAATTTTAATTTTCTCTTGCGGAATAAAGGTCTGGCTCGTTCAAGAGATGGAGCCTAAAAAAATCCTCAATTGTGATCGCTTCGCTTTATTTGCGAGTTTATGGGGGGAATCCGTCGTTAGTGGCTCGCCGCATATGTTCCTTTCATATGGAATACAGTACGCAGTCACCGATGGACCTCTCCTTTCGGAATCATTAGAGCTGACACGCCAGCCTGGAATGGCGCGAGCAGGCACCTATAGCTAACCTTCGAACTTGTGCTGCTATGCAGAGAGTCGATAAAGGAAGATCTGAAAGGTAAAAGATCAACAGTTGTGGACGAAGCTGCTGGCAATGAGCGCATTCGCGGTTCTTCGTCATCTACTAGACTAGGATGACTTCCTGTCTCTTTATTTCGAAGGATAGTGGTGAAGGTCATCTACTACTCTTACTTGAACCTCTTCAGCAGCTATGTACCTCTACCTGCCCACCTACCATAATTAGGCAGGATGGATACTTCGTTCCTTCATTTCCCCCTCTTGACATTCGAGATATCATCACCTCGATGAAGAATAATTGTACTGCGTCCAGACAAGATTGGACCTAAACATCTCTCGAGCTTTCGCCAGTTATGTTCAAAAACCCTGGCTAGGCTCTTCACGCGGTACCTGTAGGAATGCAAGTGACCAATTTCTGTAAAATCAGCAAGGAACTGTTGCTGTTTGACAAGAAGACTTCTACAATATCGGCAACCTTTGCCCAAGCTACC